TTGGTAGATGCTAGATGATGTCACTTCGTATTTTTTTCCCTCAATCTTCCACAAACATGGCAATTTTGATGAAACATTTTGAATTTATATTATTGAGCTTAACAACTTCAACTTAATACGAATTAATTAAGAAAAACTTCATATGAATCGACCTAATGAACAAAGAAAACAAGCCTTGCTTTGTAAATGTCTTTGCATCTTTTTGGTAACTACAATATGTTTTCCTTCACATTCAAGAAATGATATTGAATGATTTGGCAATAGTGTGAAACTCCGATCTCACCTCCGACCAAGCTTCTTCCGGAGCCTGCACATTCAACGTGTAAAGCCGACCACCGTGAGCGCAACAAACAGCCACGTTATGCCGCTGGAAAAGCGGTGATTCGACCTTAAACTCCAACTCATAGTACTTCAAGTTTCTCTCTGAATCTTCTCTGAGATTCGCTTCTAGCAAAGTTCCTTTTAAATCCATCCGTTGACCCGATCCTGTCACTGTTCTTACTATTGCTTCTCCTACTTCCTTTGGTCCTCCAAATGCTTCAATTCTACATATCAGAAACAATACGAATAGTTCATAATTCCGCTTCTTGAAAACAAAATGCCAATTGTTTCGTTTTTGATTGTCGTATCAATACAAGAAAACACCGATCCTCTAAAAATCGTGCTACACGACTTTATCGAACGGATTAACACTCCTAGCATTTGGGTGCCTAAACCAACTTGTATGATAGATTCAAAGTAGTAAAGAGATTATAGATTTACATTGAGATCAATTGTTCCAAACAATCTTGAACCATATCTCACAAACCATATCACCTAGTTGTTACCATAGAACAATGCAAATACTCATGATCTTGAATTTTTTTGGGAATGATGTTCACTTACGAGAAACTAGGTGAAACAGGAGAGACGATAACACTGACATTGAGCTTGCCGGTTGAACCGGGCGGTCCAAATGCAACAACCGGTTCATTGACATTTTTCCGGCGACTATTTCTCGCCGGAGGAAGGTCTAGCGAAATCTCCCGTTCTGATTTCTCCGCCGCTCTATACAAGAGCGTCTGGTCTCCAACCCAAGTATCCGGATATATAAATTCTGTAATCAAAAACCAAATTAACAATCGTTGATTCAATTGGAGAAATTTCAAAATAGAGATTGATTAAATTTGATGAGTTAAAGAGATGACTTACTAACCGAATCCTTCAACGGTTTCGATACATCTTCTATAACCTCCGACCGGGTAAACGACGTCGAGTTTCAGATGCCGGCCGAATTCCGGCGATAAACCGAGTACGAAACTCGTGATTCCTCCGAAATTAGCACCGATCGCAAGCACAGAGGATGATCCTATACCCAGAAGAAGCCGCCGGTTGAATTTCTCAGCCAGTGGAGAAAATTCTTCGGCCGGGGAATTTTTCCGGTCACCAGAGGATTGTTGAGCGATCAAGAAGTTGGAGAGATTTGCATTTTTTGGAGATGAGTGTAGAGAGAAGTAAGGCTTTAGAGACATTTCTCGTCTCTTCTTCGTTAAGTGAGGTCACCGAGTGTTGCCGTCGACTCTCTTATCACAAACCTAGAGAGAAGTACTTGAACGACATCGTTTTTGCTGCAAACCCAAGCGATGACGTTTTACAACTCTAATCCAACGACGTCGTTTATGAAATCAACTATTTGTAGACGCTTAACTTTTTTTTTTTTTTTGTCGTTTGTAGACGCTTAACTTAACCAAACGAATATTACAGAAGGGTTGATTACCAAATAACCAATTTAGTGATAGTAATTTATTTTTTTGTTCTAAATGTGGTACAGATAGTTAAGCTACATACGCAATAAATTAAATTTACATTCTGTTTTTTTTTCTTTTGTGATTTTTTACATTTACGTACCACACTACATATTTTATATAAAAAAAAAGTGTGTATATTTTAATGTTGATGATATATAACAAAATTATTAAAAAATTATACAACTAATGTATATCATGAATATTCAAACAAATAATGGAAACTTTATGCTGAAACTAATCGAACAAACTATAGATACGAAAGTTTCAAAACAAAAATAAAACTATAGATACGAATATATAACAAACTTTTATGTATCGAATATTTAATATGAACCCTAAATATTGGCGAACAAGAGTTGGATTTCTTCTAACGTTAATCCTCGAGTCTCTGGCACCAAGCACCACGTGAATACAATTGTTGCTCCACAAATTAAACCGGATATAATAAAAGTCCCTGCAAGTTATATTCACAAAGACAAGGTTAACCATTTTAGTCTAATTGGTTCGTTTTTTAAACATTTAACAGAAAACTGGACTCAGTTTGTTTGAAAGTATGTAGGTTAAGGTTACGTACCGGTAGGGCTCCACACCAACATAAAATTGAAACAATAGTTTGCCATCCAACCAGTGAACCAATTGGCTATGGTCACTAAACTCCCAGCTAATACCTTTATATCCATTGGAAATATCTGCCAATAACATATAACAATAATATTCGTCCGAATGATAGTTTGAATAATTAAAATGAATGGTAGACAAAAAAAAATAATGAATAATTAAAATGAATATAATCGAAAAAAGAAGAAAAAGTCAAAGAACATGTTTGATCTTATGTTTACCTCAGACATTATAACCCATGGCAATGCTCCCATTCCAACTGCGAACATCATCGTGAATGACTGTTTGGATTTTAAGTTGTTAGATCTTGTCACATTATGAAAAACTAACTATACTC